GGCGGGAAATCTCTAAACGATTGATTAATCAGAACAGAGCCGGCCAGCTAACCAATCAGAGCAGACTGGGCTTTGGTTTCAGACAAAGGGTGAAAAGAGGTGCTGCAGCACAGGCAGTATGAGAAAAATAAAGAGCTTTTTCAAAATTAAAGCAGGAAAACATGTCACAGTAGAGACACTAAATACAAGTATGATCCAGAAAATTAGCATAATATGTCCTGAATTCAGCTCAAATGTTCACTTTGACGTGATAAACTAATTAAAACGTGTTTGACTCCAGCTTGACCAGCAACAATATTAATATACTACTTTCACACAAATGCATCAACAATATTACAACGTATACGATATCCAGGTATACTCTGATTGTGGAAGTGATCTGATCCACTGTGCAGCTCTCATCTCTCTGATGTAGTACATGTGTCCCCACTTGAAGGTCCTCTGTTATTAGATCGGCAGCAACAATGTTGCTTACAACAGCTGTAGCAGTAGTTGTTGACTGTGGCAAGATGGCCGCCGGTGAACTACGCTGGCGACTCCCCCTTGAGCCATCTAGTGTTTATATTTATATATATCTATGGTGACAGCCACAACAAATATTTTCCTCAGAGTCCGGCGCACTTCCTGGGGGCTTGGGACAGCCCCACTGTTAGCAGTTAGCTCGAATGTAGCTACTGCCCCAACCTCCTCAAAGGATCAACACACTTTCTTTAGCTCCTGGTACACAGCACCCCCAACAGTCCACCATGACTTAAAATCTAATTGTTAATCTGACAAAAGTTCTGGACCCGAGTAATGGGAAAAGAAAAAAGCTGAGTCATCTTTCAAGGAGAGCAATATGTCATTTCATACTTTCGCTCAATCACTGTGAAACCCATTTTTACACTATTTCTAGTTCCTCCTGCTTCTGAGTTCTTCATCACTGCCTCGCCTCCCCCTCTCTCCTCTCGATACCAGTGGGAATCCCGGCTGTGATGACAGAAGCTGATGCTGCAGTAAAGTCCTAACTCTACTGCTGAGGCTTTGATATGGGATGTTTTAGCACCCTTGATGTGTCAGACAATTAACTAAAAGCTGCAGAGAGATGGAAAGGTCTTGAAATTAATATTCTGAATGGAGGTTTTCCCTTCTTGTCTGATACAAGGCCACATTTTCCTGCAAGCATTTTTATTGTCCAATTCGATTTTGATCTATCTTCCCAAATATGGACCATATGGTGTTCAGCCTCTCCCATCCTCAGCTGTGACCTCCCGTCACACTGCGTTACAACGACTAAATCCCCGGAGTGGGGACGTCAGCACAACAACATTAACAGCTGACCTTCTCCTCTCCGTACATGTGCAGATATGCAGGGCCTGGGGGGGAAATGTTTGCAGCATGCATGTTTTATTTAAAAAATAAACCTTTTTCAGGCAGAGCGAGAAGAAACATTAAGCATTTAGTTGGAGATGTGTATGGGTTTAAAATGCATACTGCGAAGGTTTTTTTTTCTCCAAAGTGTCTGCTTTTAACATTGTGCCCTGTTTGTCAATATGTGCTCTTAAAGTCACTAAATACACATCGGTATACAGATGCTTTTTACAGGGAAACACATTGACATTCATGCATCTACAGCAGCACTGCAGGTACATTATGCTGCAGCTTTAGAATACTGCTAATATTCCATTTCCTCAGGGAGACATGAGGTCGAAGTATTATCGAATCTTGCCTCCTGCTGGTAATTGTGTAAATGACAACTCGAGACATTTAAATCATCCTCGCTCTACGCAGATATTATTATATTCCATTATGGAGGCACATTTGCAAATATAATACATGCAGGACTGGGAGGTCAACAAGTCTGAATATTTGTCGTTGGGTTGGAAAAACACACGTTGCAGCTGACTGCAGGTTGTTCTGCTCGTGTGTGTGTGTGTGTGTGTGTGTGTGTGTGTGTGTGTGTGTGTGTGTGTGTGTGTGTGTGTGTGTGTGTGTGTGTGTGTGTGTGTGTGTGTATGTGTGTGATCATTATCCCCCTCTAGTTAAAATCACTGAGCCAGTAAATCTGTCCTTGTTGTCAGAGAGGAAATGAATCCAGAGACTGTCAGTGATTTACTTTGAACTTCGGAGAAAACAAGTCCTGTATTTGCACACAGTGTTTCAGAAATAAATGAGGTTAAATCAACATACAGACACAGAACTATTGTGGCTGTGCTAACACAAACACTGTCGTTCTGCGAAAGCTATGCACACACTCACAAAGCCAAACAGATATTGACATAACTAAACCCCCTTGTCTCAAAGTTTTTCACCTATACGTGGTGCTGGTGGCTGCGGAGTTTGGTTGGTCTACCACTTTTAGTCGGCTATTCCTTTAAAGGGGCTCTATAAGGTTGATCATTGTAATTTGTTCTTCTACTGTACTCTTGTTTTCATTTGATGAATAATTATAATCCTGCCAAGCCATGAGAGCAAAGGTGTATGAGGTTGAAAAGGTCAAAATCAATTCATTCATTCAGAAGACAGATACTGTAGGTGAAGAGAGAGAGTCAAAGGACAAGATAGTCAGGTCTCATTCTTCAGGCTAACGCCCTCCTTCTCCTCCCTCTGTCCTTCCGCTCCCCCCCCCTCATTGTCACTCTGCTCCTGCCTGAAAGCAGGTGGTTGTCCTCCAGTTAGCAAGGGGGATGTGGAAGAGAAAGCTGCAAATCAACGGGACTAGATCCTCTCGCAGGAACAGAAAGGCCCTGTAAGTCCAGGGAGAACTTTAAGGTTCCTTTTATTTGGATTAGATGATAGGTGTCTGTGTCAGGATACAATCAGAGGGGATGTCTGTGTTGTTGAGGAAATGAGGTGAGACAGACTTTGTTGGTTGGTGTTCAGAAAGAAAAGGACAGAGCTGTTGTATGATTCAGATTCACGATCGTATTGTCTTAGGTTTGGATTATACTGTAAGCATCTGTATAGCACTCTATATAGCAACATGCACTCTTGCAAATAATTGATTGTTATGACATTTCTTGATTGGTACTATTTACATGTCAGCCTATATAAGGGGTATATATATCAAGACTAATGGCTGATTATTAGGATATATATGTGTAAAATGTCTATTAATATGATTTTATACTGGTTGTTCCTAATATTAATATTGGAAATAATTTGTTATAGATCCTTAAAGCTGCTGGGGTCTCAATTTTTACCCTTGTGAACAATTTTACTTCTTCTTTTACCTAAACTACAAATGTTTACCTCCAGGGCAGAAGTAGTTTATCTCAGGTGATTTCCTTTCTTGTGTGTCAGTTTGACTATTTTCTAGACATGCCAATACAAATCAGCTTTTTAGTGCAAAGAGGATACATAGATGCTTTGTTGAAATAGTGACGGTGTATTCGTGGACATGTTTGGGGAATCTTTTGAGCTGTTTTAGGGTGTTAGCAGGACGGGCTATAAATCACTGTTGGTATGCCGATGCTGCTCATCTCTGGAATCAGTGCTTGAAACACATGTTTTGTTGCCATCGATCTCATTTTTCTTCAAACCACATTGCTTTCTGTGTCTTCAAATGCACAAGCAATAAAGAGAAGCTAAATGTTAAGATGCTTTCAGCCTGATGTATCATATCGATGTGTATCGAGCAAAGACAGAGAAGATCACTCAGCGGTAGAAGATCTTAATGACAGTCATGCTGGGCAATAGTTCAATTTGATATAGATATCATGATATGAGAGACATGCTTTTAGATTATTAATATTAGGTTATTATTTAAGTGTTAAAAAAGTGTAAAAAGTGCATTACAGTAAGTTGATATTATTTAAGTACTTGTTTTTACATGCTAAGATAATATTATATCCACATTACTGAGGATTTTTCCTTTAAAAAACCCTTTCTGTAAATATTTGATGAAAGCATGATTCAATAGTCAACCCTACAATATGATCCCAACGTCCATATTGAGGTATTTCATATATACCTAATATATCCCAGTGCTAAAATCTACATTTTAGATCAAGCATTGGTGCTTTCACACACCTCTCCCTCTGTATGCTGGTCTTAAGACTCGTAGACAATATATTCAATAGTGTTGTGATTTATTTTGTTAAATGGCTTGGTGAAACTGATGATCTAACAACTCAAAGAAAATACAACAAAAATGTTCCTTTTTTTGTTTGTTTTAGCTCTTTACATAATCATATTTACAATGTTGGCTTCTTCTTTTTGTCTATATCTATCTACATCGTCCAAAGACCATTTAACCAAATAAAATACAATCACAAAGACAGAAAATAAAATCACCTCAGCTGGAAGTATTTATTATAATATTTACAGTAGAGTTACAGAGGTCCACATTAAAAAAGGATTACTTATTAAAGGATAAGGCTGATTGTGTTTCATATCTTGTTGTTAATACATACTAACAATGAATGGTTAAACTCCAACTTCTTTTGTGTGTTTTAAATCCTGATAAATCTCCTCTGTGCCGTAGAGCTCATCATTATACAGACTCACAGAGATGCTATAGCTAGCCTCAGACTCTTGTGTCATCATATTTATTTTTAATAACATTTTCTGGAAATTAATCAACAAGCTTTGTCATATTTCCATCCAATTAGAGAAATAGCTTTATCATACTTAAGCAAGTAATTAAATGATCTGGCAGTTATTATATTGTGCACTGATATGTTTATGCGTTGTTGTGTGCACTGCAGTGGGACTATCCTTCATGTGGTGGACCTTAACTATCTTTCATGTTGAGCCTGTGGAGGCTGTATTGTGTTGCCTTCAGAGTCATTTCAGCTGCTATTGTAAAGTGGAGATAATTTGATTTTGACTGGGCGAAGTTCTTTTTTCCCTGTCAGATTTCCATCCTTAGACTTTGTAGTCTTTCCTTTGAATTAGCTTGAGCCATTTGTAACAGATAGAAAAATAAGCATTCCTATATTTGCTCCAGGGTGCAACTGTAATTATAGAAGTTCAGCAAATGATGTAATTGCATTTTTTCTTCTTCTCTTCTCTTTCAGAGCGGAAAAAACAGAAGTATTGAGTGACGACCTACTACAGGTACTAATCAATCAAGTGTGTGTGTGTGTGTGTGTGTGTGTGTGTGTGTGTGTGTGTGTGTGTGTGTGTGTGTGTGTGTGTGTGTGTGTGTGTGTGTGTGTTTTCTGCCTCTCACAGGAAAAAATAATCATCATCGATGCAAAGTATTCAGCCTGCATGAAATGACTTTTTCAAATGGCTCTGAGCACTGCCTGCGGGCGTCGTTAATGAGCGCTGAAATTGAACTTCTTTGTGAGACAAAAGGCTGAGCGTCCCCACTGATTGACTCGGGGTGCAGCGCTGTAATTGATCTGATTAATGCCGCCCTCAGCGCCAGCCACGACGGTTCCACTGAGTTGTGTTAATAATGAAATGAGAGGCATTTAAGTGAGACAGGTAATGGTGTCGTATAAGTGTCACCGGATGGGAATACGCTGTTCTTGATGCCAGGCAGACAGGCTGTAAGAGCCTGCAAGTGTGTGATAGTAACTGCAAATAGGGATATCCTGACTATGACTAAAAGGGATAGTTCATCCCCATATTACATATGTGTTCTCTTACCTGTAGTGCTATCTATCAATCTAGATTGTTCAGAAATGTATTGCCAAGTCCAAAGTCATGATCTGGCTAGTTAATGAGGCCCTTTTATTGATTTTGGTGTTTCCATTTCCTGTAGTGTGTTATATAGGTTTTTCTGCATGTTAATAGATTAATGGCCTTTATTTATTTCCGTAACATAGTGACATCACTATGTAACACTCACACTTCTATTGACTAGCGCTCCAATTCATGTACACATTGTACCTGATTTTCTAAGGGGCGGGACATCTCTAAAAGGTTGACCAATCACAACAGAGCAGCCTGGGCTCTGGTTTCAGACAGAGGGTGAAAAGAGGTGCTGCAGCACAGGCAGTATGAGACAAATAAAGAGCTTTTTGAACATTAAAGAATGGAAACATGTTACAGTAGAGGCACAACAATGAGCCTGAAAATGAGCATTATATGTCCTTTTCAATATAATATATACGACCCTCGCACCAAAACAATCTAGACCGATAATTAGCACTTTAGGTATGAGGTAAGGGGTAAGAGGTAGGAAGACAAATAGGTATATTGTATTTTTGTATTATCTTTTCTCTCTTCCTGTGTCTCAGGTGGAGAAACGTCTGGAACTGGTTAAGCAGGTTTCCCACAGCACACACAAGAAGCTGACCGCCTGTCTGCAGGGCCAGCAGGGTGTGGAGGTGGAGAAGAAATCTGTCAGGTCTCCCTCGGTGAGAAAACACCCAAAAACACTTTAATGCCTACAGAGACTCTCAGAGAGGGCAGACCTCTACCAAAGTCTAATGGTTGCATTCAGTCAAGAACACATTTCTCAGATCATTAAAAAACCACATCAATGCTAACAAGTCAAGAGAAACAATATTTGTGTATCCGTACAGTGACCCAGATCAGCCCCATAGCTTACTAGGTTCTTCTTTGGCCCCTGATTCAACCTTTCACAAAGTTACGTAGTAGTTTTTCCGTAATCCTGCTTAGGGACAAACAGAAAACATTCCGTCATTTGGTGTTGGTGGTCCTGATTGGCAGGAGCAGATAAGGCCTGTCAAAGGAAAAGAGAGAACAACAACTTCATCTCATAAAGTGGGAATTTATGTGGATGTGCAGGTACTAATTAGAAAGTATCTCCTCCATCAGAGATAATAAAGGATGTTTTTTTTTCTTTTGTGTTTGTTTAATATTTCTGTGTAGAAGAAGCTTCCTCTAACTACACTTGCACAATGTATGGTGGAAGGGGCGGTGGTGCTCGGAGACGAGTCCCTACTAGGGTAAGTGTACACACACACACACACACACACACACACACACACACACACACACACACACACACACACACACACACACACACACACACACACACATGTAGATCACTGATTATCTGTAACATTCGCAGCATTTTCTCTAAGCGCAGACATGGAAAGGAATGGTTTTATTACCCAGAACTGATTTACACTTCTTGTCCAGTAAAGGCAGCCAGATGAGGACAAACCGTGACTGTGTTAAAGGTCCCATGTCATGCTTTTCCGGTTATTACCCATCCCCTTGTGTGTTATGTAGCTTTTTCTGCATGTAAACGGTCTACAGAGGCACAAACCCTCAAAGTACACCCTGTAGCGAGTAAAACTCTAACTCATAAAATACCTGTCTGTGCTGCCCCAGAACGCCTCGTTGGAGATTTCTCTTTTTCTTCCTCGGTACAGTGACGTGCCCATACCCAAATGGACCCATTGGTCCAAATGGACCAATCCGTGGAGCCGTTACGTTATGTCTGCGGAGCCGTTAGGTTCCTCACACACACACACTCAATCTTTTCTCAGCTCCGCCGATTTCTCCTCCCTGAGACGGCGGGACGCGGCGAGGCTGCGGGTGTGTGTGTGTTCGGGCTGGTTTCGGGCTGGGTTTCGCTGTGTCTCGCTGTCTCGCAGACGGACACTGGGCTCATAGGGAGGGGGGGGGGGCACAGAGGCTCCAACAAGCCGTTTAGGACAGTGAATACACATACTATACAGAGATGCTGTATGAGAAACCAATGTGATTTTGGAACAATGAACAATGTAAATATATTCTAGTAGACCTCAACAATGATCTGATCAGTAGAAATGGCCATGAAATGGGACCTTTAAGAGAGGTTCCAAAATGTGATCAATGCATATAATAAAGTATCCTTTATTATAATAATACAAATAAATACATAATATATACATACATATTAATGAACAAACATTACTACATGGAAATGAAATAAAAATACTTTGTCAATAGTGTCAATAGTAGAGAACAGCATAACTGAGAGGAAATATGAAAACATGTTTTTATTTATTTAATAGCATGAGAAGTTGCCTTCACCCGATATTAAGGGTAACAAAAGGCTTATTCCTATATTTTAATGACGGAAGCAGTTTGTTCTTTCTTATTACAGTTGACCATGTATACCATACATTAGGATAAAAAATATCACTATGACAATATCGACAAGCAAAACAAAAACAGAAAAACATCAAAGCAATACAATTAAAAGATGGAAAAGTTGTTATTAGCACTAACAAACATAAATGCAAGATATTATGTGTCATTATTTGAATTGGCACACAAATAACCAGAAAAAGTCCAAACACTAGATTGAAAAAAAATATTTGCAAAAAATCTGAATACATTTTTGGTTGTGCTTTTTCTCTTTTTCTAAGTACTGCAAATAATGAAGCTATTAAATGTACTTTTATAATTAAATGTATGTGTGTATTGTGTATTTCAATGTGTATTATGTGATCTTTAGTTACAGTATGTCAAGCACAAAAGAGATCAGTTGATATCTGGATGAAAGAAAAATCCATTGCAAACACAAAAACTTATGAAGATAGAATGATCTGTTTGTACTTTATTTCAGACGTATGGCAAGAGAGTCTAATACAGAACATTCAAATATTATGCACATGCTGAAGCCTAGCTGTCTTCATGTATGTGTTTGAGCCTGACTCTGGAGTGAGTTACACTGTGTTACATCACCTGAGGCAGTTACTCATGTATAAGCATCACTGCTGTTATTACTGTAGAGTTTTGAGAGAAGGTGAATAAATAAATATCAGCGAGTGTTGGAGGCGTTTACAAGGTGACGCCTGCTCTCTGTCTGATCCATGATGTTTCCGGGTCTTGTTGTGTGTTGCAGGAAGATGCTGAAGCTCTGCGGGGAGACGCAGGAGAAACTGGCTCACGAGCTCATCTTGTTCGAGCTCACCATCGAGAGGGACGTCGTGGAGCCTCTGTACGACCTGGCAGAGGTACACAAACAGCACTGTGGGAACCACGGTGTTATCTCAGATCAAACTTATTATTATTATTGTTATTAAGGCAACCTATTTAAAAAAACATAACGGGTGTTCTCTCTCTTTTATGTCCGATTTCCACTCACTCATGTTTTATTTTTTATAAAAGACAAAGGCAAATTAATTCGATTTCATTTGTTGTTATTTTTCTGATAGAACCCCCAGCCTCTTGATACCATCAAAAAATATTTTTTGTTTGAATTAAAAATTAAAACATATTTATATGTTCACACGTTATTCACATTGTCGGTTTAATTAGTAAATACATTTATATTGAAAAAAGCATTTATGCCCTTAAATAGTCCCTGATACCTGTCAGACAAACCTGCAGTGTAATCTCTAATGAATAGTGTGTACACAGGGCAGCTCCTACATGTGTTTAATACAGGGGAAACTGTACATGATTAAGCTAATCTTCATGAGAGCAGAGTTTTCCTCCAACAGGTGCAGATCCTGTGTTCCCTCTTTCACAGCAACAAACAAACAACATCTCTCTGCTCTGTCCTCTCAGGTGGAAATCCCAAACATCCAGAAACAAAGGAAACATTTAGCCAAGCTGGTGCTGGACATGGACTCAGCGCGCACACGGTGAGTCTGTTTTACTGTGTGTGTGTGTGTGTGTGTGTGATGTGGGAAACTCCACCCGCTGTGAATGGACCTGGTGCTTCACATTGAATGTAACTGGTATCCAATTGAAGTGTAACCATGAATATCTGCAAATCATTCAAATGAGAGTCCTAAAGCAGAGGAGTAACGTTTATCAAGCTATTACACTAACAATATTTGTTAGTTCAGTACATGTATTGCTGGTTTAAGGATTTAAGGAATTTGTCCTTACATGTTATATTTTATTTTATTTGTTTTATTTTTTATTTTAACACATTTTATTTTAATCATTTTCAACATCTTTACTTTAACTTTTTATGTTCATTAAAAATATTTCTGATTTATTTTATATTTTTATTTTAAATCCTTACTTTAACTTGTTATAATTGTATAAATATTTTTATTATTTTCAAATGTTGTTTTATCTTTTATTGCGAATTTAACATCTTTACTTTACCTCTCTATATTTATATAAATAAATTGTATTTAAATATTTTTACATTCTTACTTAAGCCTCTTATGTAAATATGAATATTATTTGTTATAATTTTTTTTTTTTAAATGTAATTCTAAAAAGGAGCAACTGTCACAAAACACAATGTTAACAAAGAAAGTGTTCTTATTCTGATTGATCTTATAAAGACATGTGAATGATCATGTCAGTGCAGCTTTCTCTCCCGTCCAATCAGAAGCTTTTTCCTGTAACGTGCTATCCCCACACTTTCTTCCTGCTGATTCACTGTCATCACTTCAGTTTGAGCAGTGATATGAAGAGAAATGTGATGTTCCTCTCTGCAGTCCAGCCAGGCAGTCAGTTTTTTTTGGGTGACCCAAATCTGAGACAGTTTTTCCCATCATGCGGCTGTGCTGAGCTCCTCTGGCAGCGTGGCATATTATCTCCACCCAGAGACTCAGCTCAGACAGAAAGCCAGACAGAGAGGGCAGAGGGGGGCTTAAAACGGAACAGAAAATAGCTTAAGAGGAATGAATTAGGGTGTAGATAGAGAATCAAGTGAAGACTTAAATTGGCTTTTTAAAATATGTTTTGTTATCCAGCAGATTTTGTTGTCGATGATTATCACTTTTTTTAATTAATTTTTTTATTTAACCTTTATTTAACCAGATAAAAGCATTGAGATAGAATCTCATTTGCAATGCTGTCCTGGCCAAGAAGGCAGCAACGTTACACATAACACAAACATATAAAATACAGAGAACACAACTAAGAAAACAAAAGACGAAAAAGCAGTCACTACATTGTGCACATTAGGACAGTAAGAAAGGCGCACTAATTATTACTGCAAGAGCAGCTAGTGGTAAGGACCTCAGACAATTTCAATTTAAAACATGCTATTGAGACAAATATATAAATATAAAAACAAAAGTCTACGCTGCTGGAGGTTTAGTGTAACATGCTGTACTCACCCCCCCTTTCCTTAACAGTGGAATCAAACAAATGTCTTTAATTTTTAATATTTCAAAACCTTGAGCTGAATGAGCTGAAAAATGTCACAAAGTTGAAAACAAGGCTGTTACAGAAACTTACAAACTCATGAAAAGTTGAAGTTTTATGGATATCACTGGAAAGCTATTAAGCTACAAACACATGATGATCTTAGAGAATATAATGAAATGTGTTACATTTACACAATCCTTTAGGAAATAAACCAGTGCAAATGGCAACAACTACAGTATACTGTACAGCAGTATAATGCAACGTACACATTAAAACAGCAGTTATATTAATCCAAAACATCATAAATAATACTGAAACACAGACATGGAATATCTTAATGTACTTTGTATGTTGATTATACATACATACTTTTAATAAAGTATATTTTCTATGTAGGACTTTTGCTTGTAGTGGAGTACTTGATATACCGTAGGATCTGACTACTTCAATTAATAGTAATATTGACAATTGTTTTTCCCCCAGGTATTATCAGTCCAACAAGTCTTCAGGACTGTCCAGTAACCTGCAGCCATCAGGAGCGAAGGCCGACCACCACAGGGAGGAGATGGAGGAGGCAGCCAACCGCATGGAGATCTGCAGAGTCAGTGACCACCTTACTCACAAGCAATTAACTGTTAATGTCCATTCATATTGAGAGGATCCATTTAGTTAAAGCTGTTTGAATTCATATTTTTATGTAAGATGGTTATCTGTTTTGGTCCCGGCTCAATGCTCTCATAGTGTTGTTTAGCAGCTTCAGCAGAACCTGCTGTAAAAAGCCCTGGGCTGCAGTTGAATAGTCCAAAAATCAGCCCCTATTGTCTAACCCAGGGGTCGGCAACCCACGGGCCGCATGCGGCCCTTTAAGCCCTCTGCTCTGGCTCCCTTGAGCTTAGACAAAAATAAGAAGGAAATAAAATAAAAGTATTTGTAGGACTATTTATATTTTGTTACATGGTTGAAAATGTTTATCTTGTATTTTGAGGTGATACTGTGAAACATAAATAAAAAACAAAACGGTTTTAATTAGGTCAACTAAAATATGCGTCACATACTGCTACGGTCCCGCGCGAGCGCCTTTTCTTGGAGGCGCTCGCGTGGGGACCCCCGGCTCGATGAGCGAACTATGGATAAATCAAAGAAAAGTACCGGAGGAACACAGGATTTAATTCTGTGTGGACAGAGTTATATGCTTTCACAGCAAACGATGCTGGTTTACCGGTATGTTTGATATGTAGAGAGAAGTTGTCAACGGTGCTGCAGCCTTTACGTATCGAGGAACAACAAGGGAGAGGAAGACAGCTGACAATCTTCAGTCATAATTCAATGGGGTATGTAATTTATTTCAGAAAACAGTTTGTTATATTCCATGGAATGCTCTTAACATCCCGATAGCAATGAATATATTAAATGCTTTGACAANTAATTAGTATCGAGGAAACAACGCGGAACGGGAGGAGGAGTACAGCTAGACCCGAAGCGTCTCAGGTCAGTTAATTCAATGGGGCCGTATGGTAATTTGAGTTTCAGAAAACGTGGTTGTTGGAGTATTCCATGACGCAAATGCTGCCGTTAACTCGCCGGTAGCAATGGGGAAGTAATTAAGGGAGTGCCTGTTGCACAATAAAAATACAACAAAATTAATCTCTGTGCAAGCCCGCTGCGCTTCGCTAAAGCCAACCGGCCTATTATTTTGCCGCTGTTGTGTATTTTCAAATTCTTTGTTGCGTTCATTGTGTGGTTTCTCCATTTTCACCTTTCTGTTTTCTTAAATTTTTATTTTGGAGGTAGAGCGTCATAATGTTTTATTCATAATTACATAAATACGTCGTACTGTGAACAGGGTTCCTCAATTGTGTGTGGAGTCACAGAGGTACGTCTTTATATCTTTTTTTCTCTCTGCAATGTGCAGAGGACTCCAAGGGTGCTGTGTATTCAGTGTGATTAACGCCTAGGCCTGTGGTATTATTGTGTAATTCCGTTGTATAGGAGTTCTGTTCGTGCTTGAGTTAGAGGTTACCGTGGTGTATAGAATCTATAGTGAAATAGCCGTAAGAATGCAAGAAGAACACTGTAGCTCTCTTTGTTCGTATAACAATAAATACAACGTGTTATTAGCTATCAAGCTATGGAAATATTTTTTGCGGCCTCCGACAAAAACATTTTTGGAAAGAAGGAGCAAAATGGCTCTTTGGTCAAAAAGTTGTAGACCGCTGTCTAACACTATCGTCTATTCTTGACCTCTGTGTTGAAACGTCACGGGGTTAAGAATTAGTGGATAGGAGAATTCAAAGGGTTTTAGGAAGAAGAGCTGCGACTTTCACTATCCGACGTATTTATGAGGCGCCAGCGGACGTCATAAATGTGTGTCTTGCTGTGGCGGAAACTATGGAAACTACCAGTGCTTCTTATACAGCGGACTACATGCAGTAATATAAGAAGGGCGGACACTGTAAACTCATCTCTGCACGTGCTCTGATGCTGTTGGTTATCGCTTCATGAACGTAGGGCACAAACAGAGAAAACATATCTTCATGACCAAATTGGATTGACATAAAAAAAGCGAAAAGGAAGACCTTATGTTCGTCACCCTCTCCTTCCGGTCACATTTAATACAAATGATCCCAATACGCTATTATTGTATGAAGAATCTAAAATAAACTACAAAGTGACTATTATTAAAACGTTAGCTCCTTAACATCTATCACTGTGTACTATCGCCATTCAAGCATGTTTTTAAAAGTGACAAAACCCCACACAGCTCAGTAAAGACTGTGAAATGTTGACTTTATTTGATCCCATTTCAGTAAAAACTAACGTTCATATTTCTCTTTTTGATTATAATACTGCTGAAAACGATGAAACAAAGCACTTTGGCAACCTTACCACATACGTTTTAAAATGCTTAAAGGTTAGACGGGCTAGGCTAAGAATGGAGAAACCAGCTCGAGTGCGCTGAATTTGAAAGTACCACAACCGGAAAATCTGCCCCTTCCTTCAGACTTCCTTACAGAGCCCCTCCTCCAACACACACGAACGCGCACATGACCAATGAGGGCACGAGATAAGTTTGTGCACAGATGGAAGGCTGACAGGCAGGTAGGCCATCCAGTTACTTTAGCCGGGCCGGCTAAAATGATTGGTCGTGCTTTTTACAGTACTACGGCTTCCACAGATGAAATATTTGTATATAATTATTGTCAAAGCATTTAATGTATTCATTGCTATCGGGATGTTAAGAGCATTCCATGGGATATAACAACAAGTGTTTCTGAAGGGAATTACCTACCCTACCTTTAATAAGCACCGTAACTTTCATGATATCATTTCTCGGTCATAATCGGTTGTTTCCGTGAACGTCCGACTGTTGTGTGATGACAAATGCTGTGGCCGCAAGGCATTGTGGGGCAGCATTTTCTCGTTTCCTTTCGTAAGGGAAGGTCCAGTGGTTCCTAAGTTAAAGGAGGTTATAAAGGAAGTTGGAAACCTCCTTTCCTATCATCTAGAGAATTAGAACGGCTCTTATCATGGCTGCCACTGAGGGACTTCCGGGTCATTTCACTCCGTTAGGAAGGTTCCTAAGCTAAACGGACTATTCGACCGCAACCCTGGTACTCGACCTGCTCAGCAGCAAACAGCAGGCGGACACAGTTAGACACTAGCTGGTGAACATAGTGGAGCATTTAGGGACAGATATCTCTCTCAGGAGCTGGTGGAGACCAAAATCAGAGCAACATACAAAGACTCAAATAGATGATAATGTTGCTGCACATCCATGACAGTGTTCTAACAAAGTTTGCCATATCAACTTATGATTTATGAATCATTCCATGATTGCCTGTTTATGTTTGATCATGTTCTGTTGCTTTTAACGTCTCCAAATATTTACCAAATTGTATGGTACCCTTGGGTGTCATGAAAGGCGCCCCTAAATACATTTTATTATAATTGTTAGTATTGTTAAATGTTAAAAGCTCTATATTCTAAAAGACTCTCTGGACTTTCCCATTCAAAAATCGCACATGGCGCACAGTAACGCATTTTCCATCACTCAGCTGTGGTTGGTCCTTCAGAGAGGGTGGGCGGAGCTAATGCAACATATGTGCTCTTTAATTGTGTATAAAGCGGCGTACCGTTTTTTTTAATGTTGTGAGTCAACAGTGTCTACGGCTGAATAAAAACAACGTTGAAACTTAACAAACAAGTTAACGTGAGATCCAAAAACACACCTGAAATGACCGCTAAGAGAAGTTACTTCAAAATTCTGACAAAAATAGTTTCTTGTTTATCAGCTGTTCTTACAGGGCGGATTCGAGCCAATTGAAACAAACAAACTGTTGTTGTTTTTCACTTACTGTTACTATAAGCAAAATATTGGCAGCTATTTTTTGTTATTTTAGTCCACTTTTCTATTGGATTTTCAAAAACCACAACACAGGGTTAGGTTATGAGGTTGAATATTTTGGCATGAGGAAAGGAAAATCTGATCATTTATGAAACACTTCACTTTTTGTTTCTCAGTTTCCCTTCCCTGCTCTGTCCTCACATGATTATGTTGCTCGGGTGTGTTCAGCTAAACAAGAGCGGATGGTGAGGACAGAGCAGAGAAAGATGGAAATGATGTCATGCTGGGGCTCTCCGGGAGCAGCAGGGAACAGCTGTGAGGCAATATATTTGTATTTCTCACCGCCCTAACAGAAACAGTTGCCAAATTCCTATTGGACTGGGCAATGTCACAGACAGTACTCTTATACTTTAACAGATTATGGTATTGCAACAATTTTTTGACAATACACGCACATTTGGATATATTTCAACTGCAGGTTACTCTATGGTGGCCGACAGGTGGAAACGCGCTACAGCGACCAAATACACTTCCATTAGGAGAAACGCGCTGCACTATAAAAACACAAATGTGCCAATACACATGCAAATGAAGAAACATCTTCAACAACTTGACAACGGATGTGCAGCATTTAGAAAACATTCATCAACTTGATGAAAAATAGGCAGCGTTTAATAAAAGCTCAGGTAAATGAACAACGCTCCAAAAAGCTCAAGGTACAATGGAAACGGAGAACACTGGTGAAGATGTTTCCTCAGTTTCATGTGTTTGGACACATTTGTGTTTTTATATTTTTCATCAATTTTGAAATTGCTGCGCGTTTTTCACACCTGTCGTCCACCGCAATACAGACAAGTCGAGGCAAGTTCATTTATAGCACATTTCAACGATAAGGCTATGCAAAAGTGCTTTATATAAAATACTCAAATAGTGCAAAAAGAAACACAAATATAAAAGCATTCAAATCCCAAAAGGAGAAAAATAAGGACAAGCTAAAATACACTTAGCTATTAAGTACCAGAATAAAAGTTGCAGTGCTGTCTAAGATATGAAAATGCTATAAGATTTAGTCTTCAGCCTTGACTTAAAGCAATGAATGGATACAATGGACCTGCCATTTTATCTGAGTTTATTCCAAATAACAGGAGCATTAAAACTGAACACACACAAAAGAAATACTTGAAATAGCCATAACTTCTACAAATATTCAAAGGAAACACAACCTAGTTCAATATTCTATCAATATACACTATCAATTTGACTGCATATTAATACAAGTTTTGACCTTTTTAACTGCCACCATTTGCTGTACTTGTCATTGCAGGAAACTCACAGGTGTAACTAATAACACTAACGAAGCTCCGCCTACACCCCTCATTAATGCAATTAATTACGCCTGTGCTTTTCCTACGCTCCCAATTCTAAATGTCTGCTTTTCAAAAGGTATTTTTTAAAAACATTTAACGTTTTTAATATGATTTACTTTGTAGTTTGACCGTATGTTTTTGTGTGTGTTCACCAGGACCAGCTATCGGCAGACATGTACAGTTTTGTGGCCAAAGAAATCGACTATGCAAGCTACTTCCAGACAGTAAGTCCAACCTCTCTGCAGTGACGGGGTTTCAGTGAAATGTTCTGCTGCTCCATCACAGTGTCTCACCTCTCTTCCAGCTGATAGAGGTCCAGGCAGAGTACCACAGGAAGTCCTTAGAGCTGCTGCAGAGCGTGCTGCCCCAGATCAAGGCTCATCAGGGTGAGTTTGAGATCACATGATGCATCAGGTTTGACGACTCTTTCTTCTCTGACCTCAGGTAAGCTGTTGCTGCAATGTCCTATGTGTGCTAATTTCCATGTTTATAATGGCCTTTGAACAGTAAGGGGTCATGCTCAAATATATCTGTTTTAATTTGAGTTTCAACACGAAAATTAACTGTGAGTGCAGTATAGTTATACTTTCTTGGTACGTTAACAAGCAGGGAGATATGACGTATATCTTGTCAGCCAGTTCACCCTCTGCAAACATGTTTTTCTTTGGGACCTGAAAAAGTGTTTTTCAAATTAGGTAACATTAAATGTCTAAAAATAGTACGAGAAAAAAAAGAAAGGGCTTTAAATAATTGTATCAAAATAAGGAACAATATAAGTTGTTTTGTCATTATAAAATTCAGGATTACAAACACAGTTGTAGCCACGCAACACAAGTATATAAAATGTGAAGTATTTATTCAGTTAAACAATGGGAATATTTGGGGAATGAGGTAAAAAATATTTATAGTAATTATAAACACGGGAGCAGGAGTAAAACTCCAATAAGAAATACGTTTTAAGTCGTCAACGTTTGAGAAACTTAAAAAAAATCTTAAAGAAATTATCTTAGACACTTAACAGTACTTGATGAGCTATAAAATATTGCATTCCTCTTAATCAATACAGTAAAAAAAATTCATTCGTGTCTGTATGTAGTCACATACATGACCTGAACTCAAACGCCATTGTCAAGAATTATCATTACATTTTCCTCGAATAAAAATATGTGAAATCACCTTTTCTTAATAGCCTGTGAGGAGAGCATAAGCAACAAAAGAAAAATCAGTCATTGCAAATGTAGCATTCAATCAGGATCCCATTGCTTACAGATAGAAGCTTAATGAGATAACAGATTTTAAAGGTCCTCCGGCAATTGTATTACTGTTTGGTTCGGTAACTTCCTGAAGCCTGAGAGGAAATGTTTAGCATCTGTAGCTGTGACTGTATTCCATGCATGTGTTCCTGTGTGTGTGTGTTTAACTCTATGTGTGTGTGTTTGACAGAGACCTGGGTGGAGAAGCCGTGCTACGGGAAATCATTAGAGGAGCACTTAGCGCTCAGCGGGAGAGATATTGCCTTCCCTATCGAGGCCTGTGTCACCATGCTGCTGGAGTGTGGCATGCCGGAGGAGGTCAGCCTCACACACAGAGCACCTGTCTTTTACATGAAACACACACACAAGTCACGACTGAGATAAAGTCACTGAAAGAAAAACCAATGAGATCCAGGCTACAGTTAGCTTTCCTCAAAGCAATTTGCAGTTTTATAGCCTGAAGGAAATTCCTCGGCTGTTTAATTATGTCTGATGTTATCAAGCCAATGAGCTGTGCAGCTTGTTAACGATTGTTTAATGGAGACATATTGAGGGTAATCTAATTGTTCCCCGTAAACAAATGTTTATAAGATTATAAGAAAAATAAATGCATCACCATGAATAACTATATTTCATTTCAACAGTCATTAGACTTAATGTGATGTTTGCTGAACATTATAGATAGTACTTTTGAATGTGGTGTGTAATTATTTAAAAAGCTGACAGTAAAACTTATCATTAGTGTTCAACTCGACATGTTGAAATAAATTTAGTAAACGACCTTTTGATACCAGGATTGCTGCTGACTCAGCTGCTCTTACATTAGCAGTTGGGTTTAATGTTCAAAATGTTTTGCTAATATAAAAAATCACTTAACAACGACTCTAGCTGAAACTAACTTAATAAACACTACATTCAATGTTCAATCTTTTGCTAAAGCAAACAAATATTATCAGTCAAATATAGCAGTAGCATATCACAGGAAAAAGGGCTTACACTGCAGAATGGCCTTTCAGACTGTTGTAATGACTATAATAGTACAATAGCTTATGGTCTGACATATTTCATCTAGTTACATGTTTAGTTCATCAAATCTGAATGTAATTGTCAAATAAATGTACGACATTTTCCCTTTGAAAGTGGACTTAATTTCAATCATTGTCTGACAATTCATAAACACACAAAATGAGTTCTTAAATATCTTTAGTTTAAGTTTACTATTAAGACATATTTAAAGTACTTGAGGCTGTAGACTCTAAAGTTGGGCACTAGAATGTGCATTTAGTTTTCCTAATTCTTTACAAATGCCACCATTCAGAAGAAGTAGCCCTCGTACATCAGTTATCTCTGCCTGTGTATAAGCACAACAGCATTATAGGCTCAGAACTCCAAGATTGAAATGTACAAGAAAATGTGTAGTTTGTTCCTTCTCATTAAAAATCACTTAATCCTTTTTTACTTAAAAGTTACTTAAATGTGTCTTTTCATGTTTTGCATCTCAGGGTTTGTTCAGAATCGCTCCTTCAGCCTCCAAACTGAAGAAGCTGAAGGCGTCTCTGGACTGTGGCGTGTTGGATGTCGAGGAGTACTCTGCAGACCCTCATGCCATCGCAGGTGAGCTCTCCATGACCTCCCTCCCTTTCCTGTCTCCCAGTGGCTGCTCATCTCGGTTTACATGGGTACATTTATGAGCTGGCACATGTTGCACATTAGGAATCTTAATTTCTCCACATTTCTGGTACTCTCTAACGTCCATGTGTTATTGATCTACCCCGCCACCTCCACACAAACATCATCATTAAGGCTGTGTGTTTCTTCTTCACACACACTGATTCCACAGCAGCTGTCATTGGTAAACCTCAGCAGTGTCCTGTTAAAGATTCATTGAAAAGTCCCATTTAAAGGCCTCACAAAGATCACTCTTAAGCCTTCATTACAATTCAGTTTGCTTCTCCTGAGAGTCAACCGCGAATAGCTGTTTTTAGTTTGTTGTATTTCTTTTTATATTGGAGAGATAATCAATAAACTATCACAAAAATGTCTTGTGATAACTTCAAAAATATTACTAGGATTAGTGTTGTTAGTTTCTTCATCTTCTGCAGAAAAACTGTCTTCTTGTTTTTGATCTGCTGTTAAATCCAAACCATGATGGAATATAAAAGAAAAGAAGCTTTTATAAAGCTGTTATTGATCTTTTGTGTGAGGGTGGTGCTTGTCCTCAGAGTCCTGCATAACTCCAAAGAAGAAAAGCTCCAAAGTTTTCCCTAGATCCTGAAAATTCATTTTTTGGAAAGTGAACTCCCAAAGAGAGATGTGGAAGAAATGAATGCCTCCTCTGTAGTCATTTAGGTTCCTCCAGTGTAATCACCCCGTCATTACACTGGATATTTCCTTGTTACAGTTTATGAACTGTTACACCACATTGTTCTGGTTTATTGTCTAGTTTGTTATTACGTAGAACACACAACATGTGTCTAAAGGGACCACAAATACAATAAAACAAGCTAAATGTGTCCAGTGGGACACATTTAGGATTCTAACAGGTATTATTGTTTGTTATTGCAAATTGTACGTTTGGAATAAGTTAAAATCCTAAAGTTCCCTCCAGAGGGACATCACTATTTAACACTAGTGCTTATATTGGCTAGCTCTCCAAGACATTGTACGTGATAGGCTAAGGGCAGGGACATCTCTAAGCGGTTTACCAATCACAACAGAATCGGCCAGCTAACCAATCAGAGCACACTGGGCTCTGGTTTCAGACAGAGGGTGAAAAGAGGTGCTGCAGCACAGGCAGTATGAGAAAAACAAAGAGCTTTTTGAACATTAAAGCATGGAGACATGTCCCAGTACAGTCACAAAATACTAAGATAAACCTGAAAATGAGCGTAATAGGGCCCCTTTAAAGATACAACTCAAAATCGGGAGTTACAATGTTTTCACCCGTCTAGAACAATATGTTCCTTTTTATGAAATATCATATCAGTCAGTCGCCTGTGTTCACTGGAGCATGTGGACAGAGAGGCTGTATCCCTCTCTAATGATCCCATATTAAACTGGGTTAGCTCCAACAGCAAATCTCATTTGCGAGCCTTTCCCACTGGAGGAGCAGAGGTTCATCCCCAATCAGCATCAATGAAAAAGCAGCAGACTTCTCTTTGTTAATATCTAACTAGAGGATTATAATTAGAGCATTTAATGTGTTTATTTAGCACCAACAAAGATCCAAACACACAGTCAGACAGAACAGCAGCTCCGAGCTGCCTCCCAGGGAGTGAAGCCCTGGCTTTATGTTCGTCATCCATCCCACACACTCCGGGGGAAATGAACTCAGCAGACCAGAGAAAAGAAGACAAGTTGGAGAGAAACCCGGTCAGCCGTCCCCTTCCTCCTCAGAGCTGGAAAATGCTCCTGCCACCCACGACTTCTGATCAAATGATGTTTGGAGATAGTGTTTTTTAAAGGGCTTGTTGTATCAGCGTAGGTGGGTCTGATGCTGTTGTATTTCTTCACTGAAAAAGCAAACAAACAATACATTTTTGAAATGTTATTATAATGCATAAATATGATAAAATAATTGTAGTAAAACATTCTGTTCTCAATAATGGTACTTATGAGTATGCTAAAATTCATTCTATTGCAAGACAGATGCAGTGACGGATACAATGCACTGTCGAGGTGGAATCTAGTCACTGCTCTTTGCTTTAAGTGAGTGTAGAATTTAAAGTAAAACTTCCTTATATAGTTATCTCACCTACGTAAATGATGGGATGTTTCTCCATCATTTCTGTAATGCCTTCCTTATTCATAAAAATAATCATGGGAAATAATTGTTTTTCAATGATGTTGAGCAGAATTCAGGGTGGGATTGATGCAGTAGTTAATTAACATTTTGGTTTAAGCATTATGGTACTTACTGTATGCAATAGTTGTTGTATGTCATAAACCAGTTCATGCATTAAATGTTTTTAAATGACAGCCAATAAAACCCCAGCTTTACTACATACGAAGTGAATTAGAAGGACTCATATAGAGCAGACCTACACGAAGGCTGTTTCCATAAGTGAAAAAGAATGTAATTATCTGCACTCTGACGTAATGTTACAAACTGTTTAACAAAAATCAGGCCAGTTGTTTTTACTTCATCTTATTGGCAAACAGACAATCAAACCAACCAACCAAAAACAGGACCCCCTTCTCAAAAGTAATACCGTTTTGACTACATTATTATGACCGAATAAAAACCGCATGGGAATCTGAATAACTGTAGGCTACTGACAGCCGAGATGTCAATCACAACATGACAAACCTTCCAAATGCCCTCCCGTCTCAAGGTGACAGGCACTTTGATCTCACGCAGGCTCATTTGTATTATCTATGCATAGTATTTGCACAAATGTCCCCTTGCAGGCATGCATTCATCTTATTATTCTGTTCTCCGCAGGTGCTTTGAAGTCGTACCTGCGGGAGCTCCCGGAGCCTCTAATGACATACGAGCTCTACAACGACTGGATCCAGGCCTCAAAGTCGGTAGCTTTTTATTTCATCGTGTTGCTTATTTTCTTTTGAACTTTATCTTTCATTTTTATTCAACTTTTCTTCTTCCTGTGGTCCTTCAGCATTCAAGATCAAGACAAGAGACTGCAGGCTCTCCTCAACGCCTGTGAGAAACTCCCCCCGGCCAACAACAACAACTTTAAGTGAGTCACTGTTTCCATGTTCCTCTCCTCACGGCCCTCTCCTGGGCTCTGCTGGCAGTCAGAACCATGAAGTGATTAGTCAGGCTTCACACAGAAATTTAAATTCATCTGTTGCACAAACCTCTGTGGTTCTTCACTGTGTTAAGTAGGACACATTTCCACTTTTGTAAAAAACATTGTCGACTGAGCAAGCCAAAAGAAACTGTTCACTCACGCAGAAAATGTTGGGGGAAATTCCAGTTGCAAGGACATTTTACTGTAACAAGAAAAAATAACTAGAGTCCAAAATGTAAGATGCCGCTCACTTCCACAGCTACAAGTGCATGTTTGGCAACACATGTATCAGTGTAGCAAAGTCAAGGCAGCATATTTGTCACTGAAATGCAAAATAACACATGTGACTCCAGGGATCACAGAGTTATGGTTTCACAGGAAATGGAAGGAAAATAAAGTTAATACAGTTTGGAGGCAAATATCAAATTTTTCCCTCCACTGCATGCATTTGCAAGGCTTTTGTTACTTTGTAGATAAACAAATATTAAAACAAAATATTATCAAAAACTCATTATGATATATTATGGATTAAGCCATCCAGCAGTACATACATTTAGTATGACTTCCCCCCCCCCTCCATTATAACACATTGATACATCCACATTAATAATCTATAATCTCTTGCATTCTGCGTATTGAGTTGATTTCCTTTTGGTACTCTATGTATTTAAGTATTTTGATGCCTGTACTTTTTACTTTGCAAGATTTGTAACTTTCAGATCTGAATACTTTCTCTGCAATTAGATATTAGTTTATATTAAAAAATCGGTAAGCAGATGTCACTGTTTGTTACCATGGAAACAGTAAACCTACATTAAGCCTTGTATGCTTCTAATCTACACCTTCCACATGTATAACTCAGTGTGAAGCGGTGCTGAGACAGAGGTCTTATGGCGGAGGTGGATTAAGATGAGCTGTAGATATTTGCCAGAGGGCTTATCTCTCGATCAAAAGGCACTGCGAGGGGTAGAGGAAGTGAGAGAGGAGAGACGGGAGAGAAATTGAAAGAGCAGAGATACTGCAGCACTTGTCAGTGTCATAATCGAATCGCACAAATAGGTGTTATTTTTAGGCAGGCGTCCTTTGAGCAGACCTGTCACCTGTCCGGATGATGGCTGCTGCTGGAGAGAGCCTGATGCTCATCCAGCTGCAGCTCAGCCAGATGAATCATTCTGTCAGCACAGAAACACACTGCCACATCTCTGGGTTTTCGAAAGAGATGAAGAGACAACAACGAGAGTTTGCTGTTATAATAAGCTGAGTGTAATTCATGCAGGCATGCTCTGTGGAAGCACAGTGTTCTCTTTTAGTCTTGGATTTGATGAAGAAAGCAGGGTGGGAAACTTGAGCTGCACTACAGCTCAGTTCTGTTCTGTTATTTCCCACTTTCACCAATATAACCAATAAAAAGTCGATGTGTAAATGTGACTCTACATTTGGCACAGTATCAACAGCGACACAAACCCAACCCAGACAGATAGGAAGTATCTCATTAACTCTGCAGCTGGTAAATGATTTCATTTCCAGAGAGTGTGAGCCTCCTGCAAATGTCGCACTCTTAGTTTTTGTAAATCACAGCTGTCAAGTGAAAACAATGCAACAAAGTGTTTACCTCTTAAATAAAAAATAAAAATGTCAATACAATCAGATCTGTAGAAAACTGAACTCACACAAAACTAAAAGCAGGGCAGTTTTTATTAGCTTTTGAAGTATGTTTTTACAGGACAGCAATGGAAAAGTACCTTTTTTTAAATGTACACAAAAAAATCTAAAATACAAAATCTAATGTATTCCCTGTTTCTGTATGAACAGGTATTTGATCAAGTTCCTCTCCAAGCTGACTGAATACCAGGATCTGAACAAGATGACTCCTGGAAACATCGCTATTGTCCTGGGACCCAACCTGCTGTGGATGCACAACGAAGGGTGAGACAGCAGAGACGCATACTTAGTCAGTAGTTAACATTTCTTTATCAAAGAATATAACATACAACTTACAGTACGACGTCAGAATGCACCTTGTGTTCATTTTTAAGGAACTACAAATGTAAAAACATGCGTTGTGGTTTTTCTTCTGTAATGAATGTGAACTTAAAATGTTTTGATTTCCACTGCTGCTTAAAACTAGGAATGCCAGATGTTTTCAGTTCAAAGTGCCTAAAACAAGTAAAGATTATAGCTCATATTACAATTGATCACTGTTCCTTTGCAAAAGCTCCTCAATAAAAGGTCAAGTATTGATATTGTTATGAACCTTGACCGACACTTGGACTCAAACGCACGACTCAAAAGAAAGTTTGTTCAAAAAAAGTCTTTACTTTGGAAAAGTATAAAGTTCAAACAAAAAATCACTCCTGAGAGGCAAAACGTAGCAAAGCAAATTACAAACTAAATAAACTTGACTATGGTCACAAGGTACAATAATCTCTTGGCGAGACAAGCTGGCTCTCTAAATGGCACAAGGCACAAGACGAACTGGCACAGGACAAAGGGAGACATGACTATTTATACATGAGGTAAGGGGGAACAGGTGGAAACAATCAGGGGCGGGGCAGAAGCTGAAGATGGCCGGAAAACACACAAAGGGAGGAAGTAAGGGGACCTGAAATGAGAGACAAGAGGTAAGTACAAAAATAAAACAGGAAGTGCAATGACAGGACTAGACAGGTGAACAAAAAGACTTGACTAAACATAAATCTAACCTGGGCTATGAACTAAACGTGAAACAATAACATGAACCTGATTAACATGACATGAATAATTTAGCAGACATGACGGGATGTTACAGATATCCATGCTGTACAACAATGTTTCTCAAACTTTTTCATACCAAGGACCACTTAACCAATAAAAAAACGCTCGCAGACCACCTAACTCCACAAATATCCAAAAACACATCGTTTTTTCTAGAACAGATTACAAATCGCCTGGAAAATGGTATAAACAAGTGGCAACATGTGTGATGAAGGTGTTGCGCTGGGCTATATCATGCAATCGAAAGTGAAACTTAAGCTCGCTCCATTGTGGAGATATTCCCGCGAGAGTGTGGAAAACTTTAATTTATTTATTTATTTCAAATTTTACCAATATACTCACGGACCACTAGGGGGCGCTCACGGACCAGCAGTGGTCCGCGGACCACACTTTGAGAAGCACTGCTGTACAACACAGATGTATAATTAATTAGATCTAACCTAGTTTCCACTCTTTCACCTTTTATTTCCCTATAGAAAATAGATACGAATTATAATAATCTTTTTCCTCTTTTTCTAACGGTATTCTGCATAAACTTATTCCAGCTCTCGACTAAAGCTATCCTTTTGAGACCCAGCATTTCATATTTGTCCTCTGTGGAGGACATGACATTGAGGCTTCATTTCAAACACCATGCATACAGTTTGAGTCCTGGTGCTGTGAAGAGCACTTCCTTGGTGTTTTTAATTATGTAACATACATTAAGGGTGTGACCAACAGAGCATGTCTCATGTCTTTTCAAATGAGTGCGAAGCCGAACCGGTGAAATAATGAAAGGTGCTTTCAAGGCACACATTTTAACCTCTGTGCTTTGTGGGGGACAGAGGGTAGCTTCTTCTCAACCAATTTCCATTCTTAAAGAAACAGAACTCTGAATGAGGCAAACTAAAATGTTGAGGCACACACACACACACACACACACACACACACACACACACACACACACACACACACACACACACACACACACACACACACACACACACACACACACACACACACACACACACACTATGAATAACCAGTTAAAAGCATGCACCATACCTTTTTAATATTACATATCTTAAAAGTACATTTAAATATTTAATGTGAATGTACTGTTCTCTAATTTAACCTACTGACAGGTGGAACCAATGTCCACTAAAAGGGACATGTTATTAAATATAAATGTTTATGTTTTTGATAGAATCTCTTTGAGATTTGTTTCCTGCGTCCCAATTATTATTTAAAAAAAGAACATTTAATTAATATATATATTGGGTCTCAGCAAGATGTTCACATTGAAATCCATCCAATAAAATTCATTTGTATGTATTTTGCATAGTTGTATGTATACACATTTACACAACATAAACTGACAACTTTGTGAACACTACTAACATCTTAAATGAATTATGAGTGTATACACAAGTTTGGTTGCACAGTAGGAGCTAAAAATGGACAGCATCAGGAATCTTTTAAGGGGGAGAAAATGCAAGTTACTATCGTGTCATGTTTGGGTGCAGAAGAACCTCAGTGTCCTCTTTGTTCAGTCTAGAAGAGGAGCGTGCTTTTTCATAAACGTTCTATTATAATACTACTGTTCTGTATGCAGTTCCACAGGGATGTCATTTTTCTTAGTGGCACATTTTAATATCTCCTAATATTCATGATGCTGCTCAGAGCTCAAAGTAATAATAACAAAAAAGGCCAATAGGCACACACACACACACACACCCACACACACACACACACACACACACATCTTGAGGAGAATTTTTAGCAGAAAGTGCACTCATGATGAGGATGAGTCAGCGGTTTAGAAAGAGTGAAGGACACCTCCCTTATAATATCTCTGTGTAAATCTTACAAACCCTTTATCCCCCTCTTACTTTTAATGAGTATTTTAACAGCCAACCTTTCCGAAAACGCTTTTAATTTTCTCCTTTTGAATGTTTCTGCAATACAATAAAAACGGGTTAATCACAGACGAGTGTAAATCTTCCTGATCCTCTCCAGCTCGCTGTAATAAAGCCTCTTTTCTCTGTCTGCAGGAACATCACAGAGATGATGACCACCGTGTCCCTGCAGATCGTCGGCATCATCGAGCCCATCATCCAGCACGCAGACTGGTTCTTCCCTGGAGGTGACCGTGCATTTTCCTGCTGATCCCAAAGCCTTTTTAAATACCGTAATTTTCGGACTATAAGCCGCGCCTTTTTCCCTATTTTTCGACGCTGCGGTTTATATAACGGTGCGGCTAATCTATGGATTTTTACAGCTAACGGCCAACACCTTTAACTCTATGGGCTCTATGGCCGGTCCGCGGACCCCCACCTTTAAGCGGCGGGTTCCAGCAGGAAAAGCTGGAGGCCGGAAAAGAGTGAGACAGGTAGCGCGCAAAAGTAAAAGTGGAACCGAGAGTGGTATGCCGCTGCTGCGGCTTATATTCAGGTGCGCCTTATAGTCCGAAAATTACGGTACTTTATTTACTTTGTTAGAGTAAATAAAGCTCTAAAGTGCTCTCCAACAGATAAAGGAACACTTGATCCTCTGTTTATCAGAAAAAAACAACTTCATATTTCATTTTTACTAGACAGGAAATGTTTGACAGATAACATAAGTAAATTTACTTAGTTACATTCCAACACTGCTTAGATACTTACTTTTTTTTTATTATTGGGGATTTGATTAGACTTACTCAAACAACAACACACTGAATAGTTCCTGTATTTTGTTCCTTTTTTTCTGGTCCGTCATAGAAATCGAGTTCAACGTCACGGGGAACTACGGAAGCCCGGTCCACACAAACCACAACGCCAACTACAGCTTGATGCCGTCTCCTGACATGGATCAGATAGAGAGGAAGCAGAACGACCAGAGCCGACGGCCGCTGAGCGTCGCCACGGACAACATGATGCTGGAGTTCTATAAGAAGGACGGGTAAGACCCCTCTAGACAAGCTACGATGCATTTCTGTTTATTGTTAATCTTAAGTACCGTAAATCATATGCTAATTTATTGCAAATAAGAAAGCAAATTAGCGTCTGAAATAAGCAGGACTTTCTTTGTATCAGCTTCTATCATTGGAGTGTGAAATTCACTTATGAATGTATATAAATACAAAAAGTAACTCATTTTGTCAGAAAATGATTAAGAGTCAGATATACCATTTTGTGTGAAGTTAATTTAACTTCACTAAAGTTTAATGAAGTATAGTATACAAAATTGTAAAACTAAGTAATAATAATTGTTGTTCTAATACAAATGGAATATATTAAGCAGGATAGCTCTATAAATAAAGTTGATAAATAAACTGTAAATAAGTGCTTTCAAACTTTTTTTTTAAAGAATTGACCAAAAGATTCTAAAATATATTAGTAAATGCAAAAAGTAATAATACAATTAATATGAATTAAAAAACATAAATAGTTATTATAAAGAAAATGAATAAGAAAGTATTAAAGCTGTTATTTAAAAAAGTACAGTAAGTACCACAACATTGTACATAACCACATAAAATGTACCTGATTACATTCAAGAACTGCTGTCGATAAAATAATGGTCCAAGACTTTGTACAGCAATGAAATCTAACATGGTGCTGTATCCTCTAAATCAGTGGTTCCCAAACTTTTTGGGCCCAAGGCACACCAAAGGACAAGTAAAAATCTCAAGGCACACCTACCCTAAAATAGCCCTTATAACACGTGTTATCACTCATATCATGTAAAAATATCTGTAAATGTGCATACTTATTTACTAATGGCAAATAAAATGTGACAAAGACAACTATATTACTCATGAAATATTTATTAACGAATTTTTTTTTAAATTAATTTATAAATATAAATATATATATTATATATATATATATAATATATA